CCTGCGTGGAAGCGCAGAAGCCTTCAAAGACCGGTAAGGACCGCGGGCGGGCGGGTGGGCCCTTCACCATTCCCGGAAGTTACTTACTTCCGGGTTCACCGACCAACCGGTTCACGGGGACCGCCGCGAACTGGTTGAAACCCACCCCTGGAATATAGGTAAAGGTATAGGTTCCCCTCGCACATATGTGCTAGTCGTTCCCAACGCTAGGGGGTGGTGCTCATCTCTGTTTTAAAGCCAAGAGCCAACGCTGTCCAAAGATGTCTCCGTGATCATGTGGCTGGCATGACTAAATACCAAAGGCGCACAGAATGCTGTTACCTTCCCACCAAAGGTGGCCCCTATTTTTCTAACTTGCATTTTTACATTCTTTCGAACTGCAAGGTTGGGAGAAGCTAGGACAAGTAACGGGAGTGTGTTACGTGGCACTAGGGATTCGAACCGCTGAACTTCTGACCTTTCTGATCAACAAGCTCAGTGTCTTAGCCACTGAGCCACCGCGTCCCTCAATGGGAATATAGACACCAAGAATCTAGTTTGGGTGGGAGAGGGAGGAATTCCCTGATTGGGTATCTCAGAAAGAAGGGGGGAGGGAGGGAGGGAGGGAGGGAGAGAGAATCTTAAATGACTTTGATTTAGATGCAACATAGACATGAAGATTCTCAAGTATCACATTCTAAGATCTTAAATCGTAAGAGATGTTCAGATAGTGGAAATGAAGTTCAGAAAAATGCGAAGGACTGCCCCATTTCTTCAGTCTATTCTGAAACATCAAAGGCTGCTTTGTTTTGATAAAAAAATATTATTCTATTAAGGGATCGAGGCATCCTGTACTTAGTCTAATAGACAAAACCAAATAAAGCAGCAAATGAACCTGACTGTTTGAAGCCACAGACCTCGGAACACCCATTTTGCAGAAAAGGTTACTGACATTAGGACTGGATATAATACACAACATAGAAAAAGAGGAACCGTAAAAGCTTCATAAATGTATAGTGGGTCCCTTTCCAAGAAATATTTGGGTTTCAGTGGTGATAAATTAGTATGCTACCATGTTTTCATTTTATAATTTTGCTAGTACTTTTCTTCTCCCTCTTCAAATATGTAGGAAGCTGAGTTCAGATTCTTAATAATTGTTTTCTACTCTATCAGGTTAGCAAATAAATATCTGAAGAGAGATGGAGAGGGTAGCCAAAGTAAAACACCATTAAAACCCAGCTAGGGTACAAGAAAGTTTTCTCCAATGTTTCTCACACAAGACTTTTACAAAACTGTGGCATATAACCAACCTTCTTCCACTGAAGTGTCCCCAAGCAGCACATATTCACCATATCCTCGTGACAGAACAATTCCCAAGCTGTGAGTTCGGGAGGGAAGCGGGGACAATAAGGAAATAAAAAAGAATATTATGAAGATCTATCTCAGTTTTCGCTGGTGTGCCATTAAAAAGATAAAGGTTTTCCTGTCCAGTCAGTTGTGGCCCGCCAGCAGCCAGCAGAGCAGATTCGGACAGTGAGGAGGTTGAGGAGGAACATGGGCCAGTCCTGTTGTCTGGGGAAGGCTCTGACGAGGGCTCTGCATTGGAGGCAGAGATGGGGTTAGGGTTTGGGGCCAGGGCCGTCTGTCAGTTATCAGCTGCCTTCAGAGTCAGACATCAGTGAGGCAGACGAACAGCTGGAGCCTGTTCCCAGT